GGGTAACTAAGTTTGAACAACCACAGTGCAGGTGTTAAGATAGGGCGCAGTAAGGCGACCTTCTCTTTGATAAAAAGGGGCAGTGCAGGTTTTTTTACTATAACACTCATTACCTCCACCTCTAATCGTAAAAGGGGGCGTAAAAATCAAGTCCAGGGCGCTAGTAAAGCTAGCCGGCTCTACCTTCGCTATTCCTAAAACTAAGACAAAAGACCAAGCGTTTTTCGTTGACTTAAGCTATCCACACAAATAGTTTTTTTCATTAGCAGATTACAGATTTTCTTTGAACAATTTAAGCTCACCGCTTGTGCTAGGTTCACAACGTAACAAAGAATATTGATATATCCTAACGGCACTTTTGTGTTACATTTGATTTTATCTAAATATGAAGAGAATAATAATAATAATAATAAACCCGTTCTATAAAAACAAAAAACTAAACCTCTTACCTATCTTATATTTATTTGATTATCCAAATCCATTCACATTAGCGATCATCTCATACGATACGACACAACGAATTGAATATTGAGAAACGATTTAATTTTTTTTACATAGGATTGTAGTTCTAGATGGAGCATACAGAGCACAAAAGTGACCAATGCTAGAAGTACTCCAGAGGACTTAATTATGGTTAATGTACAGTCTACGCTATTTAAGAATGTTATAAAAAATACTAGCTTACGCGCGAATCCGTCGAGAATCGAGGAATTTAAAAAAAACAAAAGTGAGTAGCCTATGTATTCTTTCAAAGTATCCTTTACGTCTATGCCAAATTTCAGATCCGTTCAGCAGTTTGGGATACAAACTCTAACCCATCCATCTATCCATCTAAACTTTCGCATTTATAATATTAGTAAGAAGTAACGATTGTTTTTGAAGTTTTTTACTAACTTGGATAAATTCAATAATTTACATGTTAAAAACTGTTTCGGTATTTTTTTAATTCATGTACAATTTCCAATACTTAGCAAATATTTTTATAATACTGGTATACTTTTGCGTCACACGCAGATGTACAATTCGAATTTCCGCTTTAAACGTCAAATTTGCATAACGCCCCATCTAGATGTTATACATCTACGGTTATGACAAGATAGAATAATCAAGTCATTAGTATAATGCACCCTATAAAAAATCACTAAACAGATTAGTCCAAAGACTTTGTTTAACATTAGTTGGAAATACCGGATCGAGATAAAAAAAATCTGACAATATTTATTTATATAAAGTAATTCACGCATATTTTTAAATACAGATATAAATAAATGACCTTGTTTGAACTTATTAAAGGTTTCACAAGATTACGCAACAGTTAATTTTTTTTACAGGGCCAACACACAACGAATACCCATTTATTGCAGTAAAGACTCTACTCACCTTTAGTATCATAAATCACTGAAGCGTTTTAAACGTCAAAGCTTTGTGCCTACACTTATAAAAAAAATATCTTCAGCTCGCGACTCCGTCTGCGTGAAATTAAAAAATAGTGAGTAGCCTCTTTCAGAGTATCCTCTATATCTATGCCAAATTTTATAGATTTCTGTTAAGCCGTTTAAGCTACATACTCTTACAAACATCCATCCATCTAATCGCATTTATAATGTTACTAGGTTTCGCCCGCGACTCCCTTCGTGTTGAAAAAAGAACAAAAGTGAGTAGTATATGTGTTTTTCCTGACTATCCTCTAAGTCTATGCTAAATTTCATCGACCTCCGTTCAACTGTTTAGGATACAAAGTCTAATAAACATCCATCCATCTATCTAAACTTTCGCATTTATAACATTAGTAAGAAGTAAGATATACTATAGTATGAAGTATGATTAGAGTGGTTTTAATTGAATAATTATGGTGTACGAGTATTTGCGTTTATTAATAACGGTATATCTATATTGAAAACGTTTGTTTATGTCTATGGATGCAGGAAGATAGCTGAACGTGTCTCTACCTCTGTTAAATCCAGTCTTATCCTTTCCTTGTGAGTTAAAGGGATTCAAATTAGGCCTCCGACACACTGTACGCACATAGAATGATTTCTAGTCGTGGCGTGTCTTGTATGGTATTGCGATACAGGTATTACTGGCGTCTTTTTAATCGATTGATGTCTTATTTCATGTAATTTTTTGTTGTTAATACAAGATCGTAAAATGTCGGTTATCTTTTTTATGAATATGCTTGGCGTGAACACGTAGTGTTGAATGTCAAGTTTTTTGTGTAATTACATTGAATACTTTTAAGTTCAGCCTAATTTGAATATCTATCTAACTAGTTTTTGTCTATGACTTCGTCGTATTTCAGACAGTGTAATCACAGTCTAGACAGACAAACTTACATATTTATAAGTAAGGAGCATGATTGATTGTTTAATTTGTGTTTTTTCATGTTTTATTGTAACGTATTTTTATTGGATAGATTTTGATTAAGATTTGTTAATATTTTATAGTATGCCAAAAAATATTTTTATTTTAATAAATTATTTTAAAAGTTAATATATGTCATTATTCAATTTGGATTTGCGACGCAAGCCGGGTTAGACTAGTAATGTATTGAAATTTCATTCATTAATATTAATTTCTGTATAAATGGCAAACCAGATTTCCGCCTCTTAATTAAGTTTAATACTTAATCATTACTTATTCAATATTTAATGTGTAGACGGGATAATTACGGAAATAAGCACGTGCCATTATTTTTATAAGATTTCAGAATAAGATTAATTTACAAGGCAATATTCTATAATCTGAAAACTTTTTAAGCTTTAGTCCGCGACTCCGACGGCGTGGAATTAAAAAAAAATATGCCTATGTGTTCTTCCAGACTATCCTCTATATCTATGCCCTTCATTGAGATCCGTTCAGCAGTTTAGACTACAAACTCTAACAAACATCCGTCTAAACTTTCACATTTATAATATTAGTAAGAAGTAAGACGTAATGTGAAAAAACAAATAACAAACACACCTAATTACATTGGAATCTATGCTATAACAAGTAAATGAAGGTCGTTTAAAATTAAGAATACCATTGTAATAAAATGCTATTTTTAGTAATACAAGTGCGTAATTTGAAAGTAAAGGACAAAACGACGAGGAAGCGGGCGTGCGTTATGACGCAATACAATAACAATTAAAAAATATAAATAAAAATACATTTCCCTTTCTATAAAGAACAAAAATCAATGTTTATTCCGATCTACGTCAATACTTGACTCGAGACACCGTAAGTGGTGAGTAGGTCATAGTCAACGGAGGTCCACTACGGGTTGACTTCACAGATCTTTGAATCTGTACAGATTGCATACGATATTTTCCTTCATCATGACGTTACTTATAAATGTGAAGGCTTACACCGGTAGAGGTAGACTTAGAAAGAGATGGATGGATTGCGTGAAAGGAGACAAGATCAAGGAGGGAGTGATGACTGGGATGACGGATGATAGTTTTTTGGAAGACGAAAACCCGGTGCGTTGGCCCTACGAGAGTAGGATAAGGCAAAGGAGATGATGATGATGGCGGACATATAAGCTGACGAAATTAAAACACATTGGTTGAGGTCGCAATCGAATCTAGAGGAGTTAAGATTCAAGACCGGTGCTTAAACGACAATAAACTCTCACTTATATAATAACCAGGAGTAATCTTACTAATAAATACGAAAGTTTAGATAAATGGATGTTTGTTAAAGTAACCTAAACTGCTGAACGGATCTCGATGAAATTTGGCATAGCTGTAGTGCACTGTTTGGAAAACACATAGGCTACAACAAAACAAGTTACATTATTAATGCGAAAGTTTGGAGTTATGGTTATTTGTGTGGACAAATCCACAACTTCTAAATTAACAAACCCAGTTAGAATTACAGTCTGGAATAACGCATTATCTACAATTTAAATCCATCATAGTTTAGGATAAATCTTTAATTAAGAATGTATTTTAAATTATAATTATTTTACCTTGCAAGATAACATTTAATATTTGTAATAATTAATTATTAATATAAGATTTAAACTGGGTAAAAATGTTTTCATTAAAACAATTTAATTCATCGAAAATTGCTAATATTTTTCTAACAAACTGATAAGTATTAAATTATACAAATATTCTAGATATTAAAGTTTTAACGGAACAATAATTTTAATTTAATACTGTTACAATATTTTTAATAAATAAATAATAAGATTATATTTACATATTGTTGACAAAACTCGACGAAACGTACAAACCACTTAAAACCACTGATTGAAATAAACAATAAATTTTAAAAACATTTCAATAAAAAACGTCCTTAGTTGCAATAAGCACCACCGCACACTGAGCAACGGTTTCACGACCATATTATCAAAACTTTATCTTAATTACCAATTACTTAGATAACCGTAGCATCCGAAATGTTATTGATAAAGGTTAAAAAAAATAAAACCCACCCGGAGTGTTTGCGATTTCGAACCTTCAAATCTTTAGTTTTCATAAGCCACGCTGGTTCTGTGCTGCCCTGGATTAGGGCATTCAAGTGCATTCGTAACCCTATATTCTCTTCTCTAGCCATGACAACACTCGTCTACACTCCACTAGCCCGACCTGCCCGGACAAATCACTCGTGCACACTGCTAAGACCGGATTTCGCGGACAGTTTCAAGAAAGGATTGTCATTGGTTTATTTATGAAATTTACTATTCCGCTTATACTTAATTAATGCAACGTATAATTTTTACATTGATTCGTAAATAAAACTGAACGTCAAGGTATATGCATCGTTTTAATTGATTTTTTAACTATAAAACAAATATTCTTTGAAACGTAACACGGGGTTATATTTATATTGTTTTCTATAAACTAAAACGCAAACTAAAGCTGTATATGATTGCATTTTACGTCTTCCATTTGTATTGTAACAAACCAGAGAGCGGGCATACACCTGAACTATCGCACACCAGTTGTGCGATTGTCGATTGTTTCGCAGCCAATTCAATTTAGTTACATAACTAAGAATCGTGTAGTGTACACACCTCCATATAAGCTTATAAGAATCAAAGCCAGACTAAACAGTTTTTTTTTTGTGTAAGCCCACCACCACCCATGGCCCCACCGACCCTCGGGTCATACGGGCCGAATCGCGGGAGGGGCGCGCGGTTTGGCCGGTTTCGGCTCCGCACGCACCTTCTTGACTCCCTACAAATTATTTCGTCCGTTCCTTAGTGTTGAGTCACTCTCCCCCTAAACAGTTGTGCGATAGTTTAGTCAAAGGCCTTTGTAACCTTTCACACGAAGAGTACGAGTCGAAGTACACTACACTTATCAAAATCGATTCAGCCAACAGTAATATGACTTTCAAAATTAATTACAAATTTATGTGTTGAATATTAACGTTAAAAATCAAACAAAAAAATGGCACCCACCTGCAAGCATTACTTTTCGGATAAAAAAAGAATTATCAAAATCGGTCCACTAGTGGCGGAGCTATACCATAACAACAATAAAAAAAACATACAGACGAATTGAGTAACTCCTTTTGGGAAGTCAATAAAATGACTTGCGTCTCACTAGACTAGTTCACACTAGGCTAGTAATAGCTAGGCTACTAAACTAGCTTAGTTCACCAGAGGCAAGTATTTGAGTAGCTAAGCTCTTACAAGATTGGGTCTATTCAACAAAATTTTCATTGTTTACTCTCATTCAATTTTGTCGGTAACTGATAAAATTATGCCTTGTGTGAACTAGGCATTATAAAGGGGTATGAGTTGGGTATTTAGAGAAGACAGGCGTATTTTTCTACACAGACGAAACCAAGGGGGGTCACCAATATATTTCAATATAATTAAGTTATATTGATTTAAATTAATTATATCCAATTAAAAAATAAACTTGTTATTTGGTATTAAAAATAGATATTGGTTTTAAGTTACAAACTCATTTACCTAATTTCGATTAATTTTCAATCGATTTTCGTTATCCGCAACGCAAATACATCATCGTCCTGAAATGTGGAATTTTTCTTGTCATATTACAAACAGACACTCTAATTTTATTACATACGAGCTGTTGCCCGCGACTCCGTCCGCGTGGTGTTAGAAAACATACGGACTATATAAATAACAAAAAGCTACGTATCCCTCGGGAATCGGACACCTCGGGGATGAAGCTTATCCCATGTATACTCCAGACTTTGTTTTACATCTGTGCCAAATTTAAATAAAATATGTTGAACCGTTGCAGAATGATCGAGTAAACATTAAAAAACTAAATTAATGAATCCCACGGGAACCATAACTTATCCCGGGATAAAAGGTAGCCTATGTGTTCTTCCAGACTATGCTCTAAACCTGTGCCAAATTTCACGGAGATGCGTTCAGCCGTTTAGGCTACAAACGCTAACAAACATCCATCCATCTAAACTTTCGCATTTATAATATTAGTAAGAAGTAAGATGTATAGATAGATATAGATATTGATTATAAATTCATCGATCAATCATTTCACTATTATTAGATTAATGTAATAAAGAAATAGGATAAAGAAATTATAAGTTACTAGCTGTTGCCCGCGACTATCCTCTTCGTCTATACCAAATTTCATCGAGATCTGTTCAGCCATTTAGGCTACAAACTCCAACAAACATCCATCCATCTAAACTTTCGCATTTAGAATATTAGAAGTTAGATACATTAGATTTCACCCAAAAAAGGCGTGATAAATGTACATTTGTTTTCATGCGGAAATAACATCCTATGCATTTTAAAATAAGTAAAATATTTTACAAACTCGAATGCAATGCAGATGCAGATGCAATAAAGATAAATTTTAAACGATCAAAGTTCGAAACAGGTTATAATTTATCTTAAAAACATACTAATAAGGTGCAAATTTATCACAAGCGAGTGACCTTGACATTAGAAGAGGTTTGAGTGTATCCGTATTACAGCTGATTTCCACTGCAATGAAACATGTTGCAATACATGTCTCTGTTTGAAAGATATATAAGATACGATATATGATTTAGACATCAAATTTAGATGTAAACTGATGTTTTATTTAAAAAAAATCTATACATATATTAAAATCGGAGTTTCTGTTTGTATTTTACAGATTTAGGGAAGATAGTGTATTTGCGTTGCTAATAACGAAAATCGCAATTAATTTTTTTTGTCTGTCTGTAATCTCCGAAACTGCTGGGCCGATTTCGTCCGGACTTTCACTGAAGGGTAGCTGACATAGACGGGCATATGCCGGGGCATATGCCTCTATAATATTATAGGCTTCTTTATCTTAATATTGCGTGAACGAAGTCGCAGGCAAGAGCTAGTTAAGATAAAGTTACAGCCGCTCCCCAGGTCTAAAAATGTGTTAATGGAACGACAGGTCGGCGAAGAGTCGCCAATAAAAAAAAACATTGAGAAAGTGATGGCTTATCATTAAAGCCTTATCACGAATATACGTGAGAATGTAAGTGTAGAGTCATCGATGTATGGTTTGGTCAGCGCCCCTACCGGCCGGTTAGAACAACAATTCTGAATATTATCGATTACGTTACGAATTCTTCTCGTTAAAATCGCCAGCACACTATACGTGACTTGGCCTGGAGCCTATCCTAAGTTAAGAGTGACTAGGCCATAGTCAACCACGCTGGCCAAGTGCGGGTTGGTTGACTTCACACATTTCTTTGAAATACTTCGCTGATAAGTGCAAGCATCACGATGTTCTTCTTCACCATTACAACGTCGGGTAAATTATGTACATACTAGCTTTCGCCTGTGATTCCGCTCGCACGAAATAAAAAAAAACAAAAGCAAGTAGCCTATGTGTTCTTCCAGGCTATCCTCTACATGTATCCCAAATTTCATCGAGATCCCTTCAGCCGTTTAGGCTACAAACTCTAACAAACATCCATCCATCTAAACTTTCGCATTTATAATATTAGTAAGTAAGATGAAATTCTAAAATCGAAAATCACATTGGTACATATCGGGATTCGAACCCAAGACCCGTGGACAAGTCAAATGCTCAAACCTTTGCGCATAGATGTCACAATATCAAATATCGTGGTAGTTTCTTTCATGCCAGGTACTTGCATGTTAGTACGAGTATCTAGCATATTCCAGTAAGTAGCATAAAAACAAGGGACTTTCATGCCTATTCAAATATAGACTGGACATTAGAAAAAAAATACATTTGCAACAATCAACATTGATTGCATTTTTAGCAAAAAATAGTGATTCATCATTGCAATCGGCTATCTAAATAATTACATTATCTTAAGTAATGATAACTAATCCGTTCCATTTAAATTTTATTAAATTCATTGAAAAAAATTCCATGAAAAAAAGTTAGTAGTGAATTACACAGACAGTCGGGTTACGGCAGTAACAGCGACTGGAAAGTACGGATTATTCCCAACCGTCACTCCGCTCTGTCCCCACGTGAGAATACAGTTTTATCCGTCCCACCTTTTAGTCCCTCTATCAACAATAACGTGACAGATGGGACAGTTAAAAAATAAAATAAGTTCCAACCGTCGCCTCGTCGCAGAAGGTGGGACGGATGAAACATTTTATTCTCATCTGTCTCCACGTGGGGACAGAGCTAGGTGACGGTTGGGAATAACCCGAAAGTGCAGTCCGTGTATAATCGTCTTATGCGGGATTTTTGAAGTTTCCACTAGTTTTGTCATTACGTGGTTACTAATGTTAGGTTGATATATATTTAAATAGAGTAAAACTCTAGTTACGTAGTTCGGAGACACATTTCATGAATTTATCAAACCAAAAGCACTAACGAATGGTTAAATAAAGATGGGAAACTGGTCATTCATAAGTTATACTAATGTAAATGGGAAAGTTTAGATGGATGGATGTTAGAGTTTGTAGCCTAAACGACAGAACAGATATCGATGAAATTTGGTACAGATGTAGAGAAAAGTCTGGAAAAACATATAGGCTACGTACTTTTGTTTTTTTAATTCCACGCGGACGGAGTCGCTGGCGAAAGCTAGTACTAATATAAATGCGAAAGTCTAGATGGACGGATGTTAGTTCGTAGCCTAAACTGCTGAACGGATTTCGATGAAATTTGGAATAGATGTAGTACAAAGTCTGGAAGAACATAAACTAACTTCTGTTTCTTGCGGACAAATCGTAGGCGAAAGCTAGTATAGTTATAATTCTATCTTAGTATTAAAAACGGATAATAATCTAATATAATGACAAGATTAGAATAACAGATCTTATATAAATTTACCGCTTCCGTATAATACAAGTAAATATGGATTTTAGTGTTAACGTTTCAAATATTTAATTAAATATTCAGGAAACGATTAAATTGATATCTATCTGTTGTAATCATAACATTAGCACTTCTAATTTAAATCTATATCTATACTTCTATACTATTATAATAAAGCGTAAACACACACATCTTTGTTGCCTAAGATGTCAGCAATCACAGCTTGTGAATAATTATATTTTAAATAAAAAGCCTTACACTTACATCACGCTTTAGGCTATATATTCCACGCCATTAAACTTAGGGGATATTTTGGATAAAAACCCTAATGAGGGAAAGAGACCATAAGTTGCTGCCAACATCAAGAAAG